GTTAAAGAGAAGTTGTGAATACTAAGTATATTAAGAGACTGGAAAGGAAATGCAGGTATAAGGGGATTTATATGGCAGTTTTCACTTTTATAATTATCACTTTTAAAAAAAGTAAATTTATTTATTCTAATTTAAGTAAGACTGACTTCAGCACCTTATGCTTATGTTAAAACAGGAGAGGGAATAACAGAGCCACAGCAAACAGGATATGGGAAAGATTGCAAATCTTGTTGGATCACATTTTAAAGAATCCTCTTTGGACTAATTTTGAATTTAAAATGTGCATATTATCGATGTTTACACCAGTGGCATAGCACACTAAAGGGAAGTAAACACTATTTATACTTTTATCATACCTGTTCTTTTGACTGATATCAGAAAGCCTGGGATAGAAACAGAAATCAGAGACTGGCTTCCTAAAAGGCATCATGAAATGATGTGTCTGACCACACTTAATGGTTAAAACTGTATCTTATATTTTCCAATGTGAGAGGATAAGAAACGTTAAGATTTTGTGGTTTACATATAAATTGTTAGGGCTTACCATTTACTGTTTTATTCTTAACATCGATTGAAGACTCAGGGAAAATTGCAAATCCTCATGGCTGTAAATGATTTGATTGGTCACAGGGAGACTTTTTGCCCTAACAATTCTAGATTCATTTTTCTACATTATATTGCTACTTCTTTGGTCTCATGTAATGATATGCTTATCTGTTAAGATAAATTTCTGACAGGCTTCTGTGACTACCAAATTACTGCAAAGTCCAGCACTGCCTGGAAAAAAGTTGTGGTTAGTTAGCAGCCAGTTTTAGCTGAAGACAGGTGCAGTAGTGGTGCTGTTTTACCAGTTTTGTGATATGTATAAACAGAAGTAGCATGGAAATTACAGCACCGGAGCCCATTCCCTTGGCAACATTTTAGAGCACAGTGGGGATTCTGGGAGAGAAGTAGTAAGAATATACTGGACTCTTTTGACGCATTCCAGATTTTTTTTTTTTAAACCAGGTATAGTTTTTTTCCTAACCTAGTTTTTCAGGTCACAAAACTTAGCTTCTGTGATTCTTAATTATATAATAAAGTATGATTGGTTAGTATATGAATTATATTAATTCTAATATTAATGCACTAGAGTCACCATATTACATTTTAAGATACATAAGTCCCAATGGGAAGGAATAGAAAGTGAGAAGAGTAGTAAGAGTAGGTTCAGAAAAGCAGGCAAATACGTTGTAGAATTGAAAAGTTCTAAAACTATATGCCTTGGTTTTGATATACAGATGTCAATTTGTTTTCATATACATTAAAAAAATGTATAAAGGATAACCGTGACAAAGATATTTTCTTTGTTTCTATGAAACTGGCTTTTCCTTAGAAAATGTGAGACAGACACACACAACAGGGGAGGAGCTGTAAACCTACAAATGGATTTCCCTTTGTTCAAGTTCATTTATCTAAGTATAAAATGGTTTTTATTCTTCCACAAAGCACATTCACACAAAGGGAAAAACTTTAAACTATTTGTTTTTCCCCCATTAAACCTGTATAAGCTGATTTTTCTAAAACTTGAGGCAGAATGCTCAAGTGATATCAGGAGAACCTGATGCTGTCTTAAGGAGAAGCTGAGTTAGCTCTCTATACTTTAATCAGTCCATTCCACTTGCCTAGAAACATGATTTGTTCCCCTCCAACATTGAACTACAAAGCACCAATGGATTCACAATTGAGCATGAAAAATAGCTCTGGTAAAACCTCATGCATATGGCCCTGGAATTGTGTTCCATCAAAAAATACACTCTCTCCATAAATAAGTTGAACCAAAATTGAATAAGATTGGTAAACAAAATTTCAGAGTTTTGATAATAATTCAAATGCATTTTGATTTTCTGATTCTATTCAATATACTTTGTATGCTACCGCTAGCAAAATTGTGAGTCAAAAATTCTTGTTCACTAAATGCCACTTAAAACCACATGGCTTTGCTTAGAATTAACAAATGCTTAAGCATGTTGGTTAAACAAGTTGGCTTAACACAATGTTCAGTGTTACTGAACATGGAAAGTGTTCTCTTATGGAATTTTATTTGTGTATGGATATGCATGTGTATACATATATGTATGTGTCAGGGTGAAATATGAGAAGCATTTCATTTTAGATCAAATACAAAGATGCACATTATTCTCCACTTCTATTCAGTGTAGAACTAAACACTCCACTCACTGCAGTAAGTCAAGAAAAAGATATGTTTGGAAATGAGGGAATAAAACAGTAATTATTTATAGATGGTATGATTTTAGTTTCTTCTGAGGTTTTTTATGTAGATAAATAATTAAAATTAATATGAGCTTAGCTACATTAGCATTGTTCAGTACTTTTTCCTTTGTTAATGAAACTATTCTGTATCTTCACAAGCCAACACAGAAGCCATTAGTCCCATTTGCTATCTAAATAAAATTAATTAAGTTAAACAAAATATTCAGCTTCTTAGTAGCAGTAGCCACATTACAATAGCTAAATAAGCTAAGTGCAACTAATGTTGACATTGAACATTGCAGAACTAGATACTTTAAATTAAATTTTGAAAAAGCTGAATCAGTCAGTATATCTACGATGTTAATAGAAGAAAAATTATATGTCAATTGATGCATGAAAACATTTGAGAAATTGGACCATCCTTCACAAGAAAAACTCAACAAACTGGGAATATAAAAGAAATTCCTCAAATTACTAAATGATATCTACAAAGTGCCTACAACTTATGTCATAATTAAGAGTGAAAGAGCCATTAATGAGTAAAAGCAGTCAGTAGAGAAAGGACAGCAAATAGTGTTGAAACAATTGGTTATCTATAAGCAAAAAAGCAACTCTTCACCTAAACTCTTACCTTATATAACAGTTAAATAGTAATTGATAATAGATTAAAAGATAAAATGTAAAACTATAAAACTTTTAGAAGAAAATCTTCATGACTTATGTCAAAAGTTCCTAGAAATGACACCAAAAGCACAATTCATTATCAAAAGATAAATTGGGCTTTATCAAAATTATAAACTTTTTTTTTGTAAAAGACATTAAAAGGATGAAAAAAAACTTCAAACTGGAGGAGATGCTTGGAAATCACACTTCTAGCAAAGGACTTATATATTAAAAACAATCCAGATATCAATTTTTTAAAAACTATCAAGATTTAAAAAAAGGATGAGGAGTTTGACTAGACACTTCACAAAGTAGATA